GAGAATGGTTCTAGAGGACCTGTGGAGAATGCTTGGCACAGTTTGATGCCCGGTTATCCGCACTGCCTTCGAAACACAGGACATTCAGAATGATTGCTGCCTCAAGCACTGTCTGTCTTCCTGTGCGATTTCCTAAAACCAGAAAAGTGCAGCCCAACAGCTGCACTTGGGTGGCCAATGGAGTACCTGCAGAGATGTTTTTTTTTTTGTTCAATTTTCCAAAGAAATTAAGAAATTTCCATCATCCTCCCCAACGTTTTGGTGTCAGACTGTTTTAGTCTCAACTAAGCTACTTCAAACACTGTCACGAATTTCTATAAACTTGAGCTATGCGAGTTCTCTCTTCCCGGTGGTTTCAATATACAATGGAGAGGCCGAGGTTGTGCCTATATGTCATGGATGTTCTGGTCATAAGACACACACGACCGTACGGCTGAAAGACAAGCCAGCGGGGGCCCCGGCCAGACCACGCTGACCTCATTGTACAATGCTGGCTTTGGGGGACTTTATTTTAAAACCCGAGTATTTGTACAGTTTGCATTCTTTGGGAGGTGATAGATTCTATCAAGCTTCAAGAGCTCTCATTTGCTTTATCTTTTTGCTGAAGACAAGCCAGGCTGCCTGGCTGGGAGGACCGAGCTGACTTGGCTGAGTTTTAGCCATACCTGTTGTTATTAAACACAGAGCAGAATTATTTTAAGTTCAATTTTTACATTAAACAAAATAATTTTGCTCTGTTTGGATTCCTGAGAGTTCTTTGGACACTCTCATTTATTTCAGTGTTCTGATCCTGCACTCTACCCACTTGGAGTCCATACTCTACTCTGAGGGGGTGATGGGAAAGGGGCACGCAAGGAGCTCTGGTGGTAGGGATGGGGTAGAAAGAAAAGGTCACCAAGACTCGTCCCTACTAGTAAGGTTTGGGGGTAAGTGGTCTGATGACTTTGAGCACTATTAGGAGAAGAGAAGTCAGAGAAATGAGAGATTATCCTTTCTTCCATCCTCTTTCCATGATTCATTTGAAATCCACTCACTTGGGCCGTCTTGATTTGGAATTCTTTTTTTCAGTTTTTATACATAAAGCATAGGTGCCCTATTTATCCTGACCTGGAGTGGGCTTTCAGCATGACTTTGGTTTCTCACGTCCCCTGTCATGCACAGCTTTCTAATGCACACCTTTCTCTGGAGGCACTAACCCAGCATTGCTGGCGCATGCCCTAGAAACAGAGAGGAAGTGTTTACACAGACCTTTTAAGAAGTTTAATGATACTGTAACACCCAAGCGCATGATCCTTGGACTTGTCGTATTGAACAGGGTATAGACCAAAAATAAGGGTGTGTACCAAAAATGGGAAAATAAAAAGAACAAAATCACAAGAGAACGGTCCTTTCCCTGGAGGAAGTTTGAGAAGCTCAGGTAAAGATGGCGCATTAGCCTCTTGGAAGCATTGCAGCTATGAGCTCAAGAAATTCCCTCTATTTTTTTTTTTTTTTGTTGTTGTTGTTGCAAAGAAGACTTAGGATCCTGTATTCAACACTTGAGATCCATGACCTCACCCCAATAGAAAATGCAAGGATAATACACTGTATTGGAAGTCCCATTCGGGAGGAAAGATGTGCACGTGAGTATTCTCTCCAGATTGATTGCAAACACAACAGGATCCAAATATAAAGCTTTCTGACTCTCAACCTGGGAGACAGCCCCATTCCTTGGGACCTAAAGACAATGCTGATTTCAATTTGACCTTTAATTTATACCATATGGTCATTTCCAAGGATCTAGGTTTTTTTTGCAGTGGATTCCTCAGTTTACCCTGCAGGCAGGTCCTTCATTTGTATGGAACTACATCTTTTATGTGTCTTTCTTTTAAAAAGGAATTTTGAGTAGCAAAGAGGAAATAAGTATTCAGAGTCGGGATAATGAAGGCTCTCTCACTTTTATCACAATTGTGGCTTTGGTATAGTCTTTTTTTCAAAAGACTTTATCATTTAGCGCAGTCTTAGGCAAAATTGAAAGAAAGGCACAGAGATTTTCCATACACACGCCCTTCCTCTGCACCTGTGTCATTATTAGCATCCCACGTCAGAGCAGTGCATCTGTGACCATTGGTGAATCTACATTAAAATATCACTGTTGCCTAAAGTCCAAGCATATGTTAGGATTCATTCTTGGTGTTGTATAGTCTATGGGTTCAGACAAGTGTATAATGGCACATAATCCCCATTAGAGTATCCTACACAACGTGGGTAGAGTCTTACTTTGGACTCTGACCTACTTCAGTTACGAGATTGCAAAACTCCAGGCCAATTTCTCATCCACAGCATCCTAAGATATCCCTTGGACCATGTCTAATCTCATGCAAAAAAAGAAAAGAAATGCTCAAACAAGTTTGCAGATGGAAGAGAACAGTATCTTGGAACAGCTTGGCCCCCTGTTTCAGGTCTGCCTTGTTCTTACTGCACGGCAGCCATGAAGAAGACTGCGAGAACTTGGGAATTTAGGAAAGTTGTAAAGTTCAGCAAAGCCCTGGCCAGTGTTTTTGTTAAACCTGCTTTCCAATGACTGCTTGTGTACACCACTTCAGAGGGAAATAATGAGCATGAAATTCAATTATACAGGCACCCGCTTAGCCATCTCAACCAGAATTGTGTCCCTAATCTTCTATTTTGAAGATAAAGTAAAAATCTAAAGCTACTCTCCTTATGATGGCATTTTGTTCCCTTTGTAACTCAGCCAAGAGAATTCCCTTTAACCTAAGGCTCCAAACTTCAAAGTCAGCTCCCCCCTTTTAGCTGCTGTCTGGCTTTTGAACTTGAATTTATGTTGTCTCTACACTGAAAGAAGTAGCCCAAGCCTAACCCACCAATATGACCTCAGGAGCCCGACCCTGGGGAAAGGCAAGCTGCTCCTAAGCCCTGAGAGACGCTGGGCTGAGTCACAGAGAAGGGGTACCTTCTGCTCTGCTGTGCAGCCACTAGGCCTGGAAAGAGAATGATGTTGTCCCTTTAAAATGGTCCTTCTGAGTTATCGATGGCCCAGGCAATCATGTGCTCTAGGCTTAAACTGAAACTTATGATCCAGGTCATCCTGCAAAGCTGCTTCTCGCTCCCTCTTTGCCACGTCCCAGTCCACTCATTTAAGCAGCACCCGCAGGACTCACACTTCACTTCCCCTGCCCCTCGCCTGGAGTCCTGTCTCGGTCACCAGTGTGGATGTGTCAGCAACAGGCACACTGTCCAATCCCTGGGCACTGTCACTAAGTGTTTGGTGAATGGGTGTCTGTGCTGCAGAGCCTTTGACTCAGGATGCAAGCTGAGATGTTTACACACACAGTATCTGGGAAAATGGGGCTTTCACCCTGGCTTTTCTTTTTATGGCTCACCCTGTCCCCTGAAGTTTAACCAGGTATCTTCATGGAAACCCTGACAGTCTCACAGCAATCACAAAAGTGTCATTCCATAGTCTTGGACACCAGGGAGCTCCCTTGCCAAGTTGCTTTCAAAACTAGGCTGCACTGTGGTTCCTCTAGCTAAGACATTGGTTGAAAGTGATGGGCCACTTCTTGTTCCAAAGTGACAAACCATCAGGATGCCAAAGTGAGACTGTCTTCTCGGTAGCTTCCCTTGAGTTACATGCTCAGAACTGGGTGTCTCTCTCTCTCTCTCTCTCTCTCTCTCTCTCTCTCTCTCTCTTTCTCTTCCCCTAATCAGCAACTGTCTCACCTTGGATCCTAAGAAATTCTACACCTGATACAGTGCTCACTGAGGCCACTGATGGAATGGATGCTTCAGCTTCCGCCCAGAGCCCTGTCTCTGCCCAGCTCAGACCCCAGACTTCATCCACAGTGTCCACTGGCCCAGCAGATCTGCCTCAGGTAAGCACACATCTGTGGACAATCAGTGCACACCATCCCTTATGTCCCCTGTGACCAAGACCTAAGGTCAAACCGTACCTTGAATCAAATGCCCAACACATCTGAGTTCTTGGCTGTTCCTCTTGCCTAACCACATACTATAGGCGGTATTTTTGGCTTACGAAAAAAAAATCATACTGAAGGTGAGGAGCACAGTGGCTCTTCCCTGCAGAACAAGAAGAGGAGTGTGTGTGTGTGTGTGTTTGCAAGGACGCACAACCTAGCTTTCTAGGTCTAGAATTGAGATCTATGTCCTCATGGTGCTGATGCCAGTAGACGTTTGAATAGCACCCCTAAGCGTGACATCTGTTTGTTCAAATGTCACACAGTTCATGGCCCAAGTGGTATCATAGTGGGGCTGTGACACTGAGCAGCTGGCAGACACCCGGCTGTGTTGCACTGTGGCAGGTGGCCAGAGCGGTACACTGCAGAGTACGTGGATCTATGTATGCACACTCACACACACACACACACACACACACGCTTCACGCACGAGCATACCCGCACAACAGCAGGTGAGAGACGCTCTGTCTTCTATCCTTTTATGTGATTTATCCCCCCCAAAAATGTGCTCTTGCCCAATCTTGTCCTGGGGTCTTGATTTCTTTCATGTGGTTCCTTGTGCTAACGAGATTAAATCAGTTCCAATAGGTACTGCTTTAATGGAGATGATAAACTTTTATTGAACTTGAGCACATTAAAATGAAATGTAAGCAATAGGTGATTTTGGCATTCGCCTGGGGTCTCTTCCAATCTGAATAAAGCCAGCATGCCTTCTCTGGAAAATAACAGCTCCAAACCCGACTCACTTTATGTGCTTAATTAAAATCTATTTTCGTGATCTAAAAAAGAAGCTAAACAATGTAATGTTCCCTCTTTTCCTTCGAGATCCAAAGAAACTGTGTTTTCAACTATGAAAGTAAAGACAGGACGGCACTTTCTTAAAAACAGACCTTCAGCTAGTTCCACTCGAAGAGCAGGTAAAATGGGCTGTTTTACGGCAGCCTGTCGGCTAATCTGTGATGTGTTTTGTCTGTGAATGGGATTATCATGGTGGTTTATTGAATAAGAGCCAAAAACGATGTTAAGTAAACTGTTTACACAAAGCCACCAGGCTGAAAAATCCAAACTCAAAAGACTCATTTCAGGTTTTAACCAAAATAAACTTTATTAGGGTTTCAACCCAACAGTTAAACCTTTCAGGGTCTGTTCAACTTGCTGAATGTGTAAAACACGGCCCTGCACAGAAATGATGAAACTGTAAATATCGTGGTTAACCTCTGAAGGTGGCCTTGCTCTGCAGCTCTCGGCTCGGCTTTTAGTCGGGTCCGGATCACAGCCAGGCTTTTTTGCGGCCAGGCTCCTGTCACCATTCCTGCCAGTCCTCTAAGTCAAGAGAGGGAGGTTTGGCTCTCCAGCGTGGCAGGGGGTAGATGTGGAGCTCTTCGCTAACCCCTCGCCCGGATCCCTCCGAAAAGACATCTTTATGTCTTCGGGGGGTCTGGCAGGGATACACCTGGCCTCTTTTGACCCCCAGAGTGGCCCCCCAGTTCGAAGGGGTCAAAATGATTTTTTTTATTAATGTCTTCTCTTGCCCTTCGTGCATCTTAAATTCTAATCCCGGGCCAAAACATTTCACAAGATGTACTTTGATCTGCTTGAAAACAGACAAAGGACCAAAAGAATAGAAACATCCACCGAGGAAGGCCCAGCCTGGACACGTTGTTTTGTCTCCCTGTGGGTTCTGCAGCAGAGAGCCAGAGGGTTCCGGTCAGCGTCCACCGTGTTCACGGGGGAAGTTGCTTCTTGGGGACTTTTTGGTTTATAGATCAGAAAATGGGCGCTGGGGGGAATGCTACTGGACTGTTCCTTTTCTTCCCCCAGCGTCGGATTTTTTCAGAGTTGTCTTCCGAAGAAGGTCTTTAGATTCCCCAATACTCTGTCCTTTCGCTCTCTACCTAGTAAACTCCACGGTCTTCCTTCATTCATTCAAATCTCACCCTAGGTTTCCAGGCACCGTGTTTGACACGCATGATACAAGATAGGATGTGTTTTGTCTGTGAGTGGGATTATCATGGTGGTTTATTGAAAAAGAGCCAAAAACAACTGTTAAGAGTCTCTGACCTCAAGGACTCACAGGCAAGGTGAGAGGTACATAAACAGGTAATGCAGAAAAAGAAATAGACATGGTTCAAGAAGAGAACCGAGTCTGGTAGGAAGACAGGTGCTTTTCCTAGTCTCCTTCCAGCTCTTCCTTCTTCCTGACCTCTGATCACAAAGGACCTTGAGTTACAGGCTCAGAACTGGGACACACACACACACACACACACACACACACACACACACACACTTTTCTTTGATGATCTCTTCCAATCCCAGAGCTTTGAACAAAAGACTCCACTTTCCTCTCTCCAGCCCTGACCCCTCCGGGAGATCCACGTTATTATAATTCTTCCCCTGTTTGACCAGATCCATCTGAGTGGTTAAAAAGGCATGTTAAACTTTTGTCCAGATGGTCACTCTAGACCTCTGCCCGTATGCAATCTCCCTCTCCCTGGTTTTTCTCCATTCACAAGGTTGTTAAAAACAAAACAAAACAAACAAACAAACAAAAAAACAATAGCCCAGGAGTCAGTTTTGATGATACCCTTTCTTCCCATCTCCATATCCAAGTGATTAGAAAGATCTGCGCATTCCATCTCCAAATAAGCCAGGATCTACCCTCTGTCTCCACGGCCCCTGCAGAAACCTCACTTGGATATCACATCTCGCCTGCGATCCTGAAATAGCCCACAATTCTCTTTCCACCTGCTTTCTGTGCAGCAGCCAAAGCACCGTTTTGAATGGTGAAAACCTGCACCTCTAACAAGAGTTCTCCAAAGGGTGATGTAGTACCTTGAAATCCTTGTTGGAGGGGGTATGTTATGAAGATAGAAAGGATTTTTAACCTATTTTTCTGATAGAGATGGAGTACAAGGAATCAGATTTATTACCCCACATGAAAAAAAAAATTAAAACATGTTTCAAAATATATGAAACGATGGTTTACAAAACATTAAATGTCAGGCAACATCTGAGAAATGAGAAACAAAAATATGAGGTTCTCTGATTGCCCCAGCTTATAACCTGAAAGTCTCTCTAGGCAATGAGTGCCCAAGGAAGGCTGAGATTGGGAGAGAGGACAAGAGAATACAGGAAAAGTCAGGGTTGCACAGACAGCTCATGAGATCTGCAAAGGGTCCGCTCAGGTCAGGGGCTGAGTGTGGCTTGGTACATACTTGTGAGAAAACTGTCAGACCAGGGTACAAACCACCTGAAAGAATGAGAGGTCACACCAGACTGGGATGGGTCATCGCCCCATGGGTCTGGGGAGAACCTGGAAGCGCTTCAATTCTCTGCTTTAGGAGAAATAGAAAAAGGTGAAATATTTTAAATCTCCAGAGTGAAAACCTGAATGTGGATGTCACTTGGATGATTTTAGGTTCTTCCTAAAATGGGGGTTGTGGTGGTGTACACGAATAAAAATTAGAAAAAATAATTTGTTAAACTAAAACCAATTAAACAATGAAATTAAAAAAAAACTTGTTAAACTAAAACCAACAAAGTAATGAAATAAAAACTAGAGGAAACCCCAATGATACATAACACAGAATGCATAGTAGAGAAAATGAATAAGATAAAAAAGCTGGGAGCTGGTTATTCTAAAAGATTAATAAATTGAATAAACCTTGAGCCACATTCAACATGAGGGAGGGAAAGGACACCAATGAACGCCATCCAGAATGAGAGAGATCTAAAGTGAGACTTCACTGAAAATCACACAGACGTGAAACAGATGATGAGGAACTAATCTGAACAAATTCACGACAATAAATTTGATAACTTAGAAGGAAGGACAAATTCTTCAAGAGACATATGACCAAGGCTCACGTGAAATAGATCATCTGAATACCTAACGGTATCTACTTTTAAAAACTGAATTTGTGTTATAAATATATTTATTTTTTGTACCAGGGGTTGAACTCAGGGGCACTCAACCACTGAGCCCCATCCCCAGCCCTATTTTGAATTTTATTTAGAAACAGGGTCTCACTGAGTTGCTCAGTGCCTTGCCACTGCTGAGTCTGGCTTTGAACTCAGGATCCTCCTGCCTCAGCCTCCCGAGCCCCTGAGATTATAAGCATGTGCCATGGCACCAGGTGTTTTAAACCTTTCAACACAGGAAACTTTCAGACTCCCTAGTGAAATGTCCCAAAGTTGAATACCAATTTGAACAAATTCTGAAAGAAAACCAGATCCGTTTTAGGAGCCCAGCATTACTCTGACACCAAATCTGCACAAACATATTACAAGAAAACTATGTAGGTGCAGATTTTCTAAACAAAATCTTAGTAAATTCAATCCAACCATGTATCAAAAGGGTGAACATTTATGATCAAATAGGGATTATTCCAGGAATGTGAGTTTAGTTTTCACATTTGAAACAATCGAGGGAGGGTCTATGAAAAAGAAGCAAACAAGATTATCATCTCAAAAGACAGAGAGCAAGCTTCACATAAAATGCTGAATTACTACTGGTAAAAACTCACAGTTGGCTGAGAAAAGAACTTCCTCAATCTGATAACTTCCGGTAAGTCACACACACTCACATAATGACTCATTATACGATTCCATTTATAGAAAATGATCAAAAGGAAATCCGTGGTTGCCGGAATGGGGGTCAGGTAAGGTTCTGTGGGGGATTACAAAGGACCATGACAAAGTTTTTATGGGATGATGAATATGTTCATTATCTCAATCATGATGACAATTTTTTTGTGTACACACATGTCAAAACTTATCAAATTATGCACTTCAACCTCATTATTTCATGTCAGTTATACCTAAGGAATATCATTATTTAAAATCCTGCAAAAGTTTACATTGCTTTTGGAAAAAAAATCCCGAGTGGCCTCATGGATCCACATGATTTGGTGTCTCCTACCTTTTCAATCTAATCTTTAGCCACTCATAAATGATCTGACCAAACTGTTCTTCAAACACACGAAGCTCTTTCCTGCCCCCCCGCCCTTTGCACTTGTTGCTCGCTAAGCATGGAATGTTCATTCTTTAGTCCATCATTTATTGGACTCTCATTTTTCCAAGTCACAATTCAAAGATCGCCTTCTCATACAGGTCTTTTCTAATTCTTTACAGAGTTAAGTAGATCCCACCTAGATGCTACCATCTGTCATGACCACATCTATCACTTTTACAACAACTTACATGTTCTTTGATCTTCTTAGTCATTTATTTACTTCTATCTCTGCTTGAGAATGTAAGCTCCTTAGCAGCCGAGACACATTTTGTCTTGTTATGCCCTTGTCCCTAGGACGGGCATGGTGTCTGGCCTGAAGGGCATTCTCAAAAATACCTCCTTGTGTAGAAGAAGAAAGAGCAATGAACTGTGAGGAGACTGGAAGGGATTTCATGGGAAAGGGGACACACAAGCTCACCTGAGAGAGAACTGATATCAGGAAGCCACAGCTGAACAGAGCTCCTGGCTTTGATGGACGCAGCTTCGTGTCATGTGGATCCTGTGACCATGTAATTCTAAACAAGATGGTTCAAGTGATCTATTTCCATATTTTTAAAATGGGGCTCCACTAACTATCATTGAAGATTGCTGTGAGATGTGACAGTAGACACTTGGAGAGGTGACTAAGTCACAGGGGTGGGGGGCACAGAGCTTTCAATAATGGGGTGAGTGTCATTATAAGAAGAGACCCCTGGGAGACTCCCTGGCCCCTCCTACCATGTGAGGACCCAGCAAGACAACAGACTATGAATCAAAAAGTGGGCCCTCACCAGATAACTCACAGCTCTCTGCCTTGAACTTGGACTCCCCAGGCTTCCAAACTGTGAGAAATAAAGTTTGTTATTTCAACCACTCAGACTATGGCAATTTTTGTTACAGCAGCACAGATGGACGAAGACAGCA